GATTTATCTCATGTGCAGGAATAATGTTATTTTTTACAACAAGAGCCTATTACCAACCACTTTTTAGATGATCATAGCTCTATTTTACTTTGGCTTAGAGAGGTAAATTGGACAATTATTTTATTGTCTCTGTCTAACCTACAAAATAAGCTGAAGTGTATCTTTGTGCTTCTCCTTGGTAACTACCTCTATAGGAGCGGAGTGGGTGAGGCTGACCTCAGAACTGAACACCGAGCTCCTGGATATGCTGTTTTCTTGGGTTTTGTTTGGCTTGGAGAACATTGCTATCCAAATCTGTTTGAACTAGACAGATTAAAATGACTCTTCCTAAACACTCTGTGACTGGAAGAGTTGGGTTGGAATGCAGTTATTTAAAGAGCAATCTCAATCAGAAAACAGCTTATGATGTTTTTTAAAAAGATCTATTTAGAACTTAATTCAGGAAAAAAAAAAGCTTTTCTCTCATGACTTATAAGTACGAGGTATGCCTTGAAAAATTTTACAACCATCTTGTTAATCACTTTCTGGGTTATTGGATTGTTCTTTTAATCTTTCCTTTTATTAGAATGAATTTTTAAATTAAGTAGTAAAAATTAGAACTCATGCAAATTATTTAAAAAGTACAGTTTTGATTTTATCACATTTTCAAGTGACAGTCTACCGTCCTCAGGTCTGTAAGAAAAAATTTGAAAGAGGTAATGGTTGATTTATATACCAATTAATGTACAGTTAAATAAATAAACTGGACTCCAAAGCTTTTAATAAAAATACCTTAATTTCCTATAATTATTAAAACATTTGTGGATAGGAAAAATTCAGTACATCGAAGAACATAAATGTTAAATGCTTTTCCTTTTCCACATATGGAGTCAGTGCAGATTCGTATGGGGTCAGCGCGGGTTCGTATGGGGTCAGCGCAGATTCGATTCCTATGGGGTCAGCGCAGGTTCGTATGGGGTCAGTGCGGATTCGCAGCCGGAGGTGACTATAGAGTGTACACTCTTGAAACAACAAAACACTGCTTCTGCATCAATATTCCATCGCTGTGACTAACCATCCCGAGTATCTGGGAAAGAACACCCATGACAAACGCTGCCTCTCTGCATGGAATTAACTGCAGGGAAGGGGCCATGGTGTTGCTTAATGGGGACACGGACAAACTTAGAACGTTTTCAACGTTACGGAGTCACCGACTCTGCCTCCTCCCCCTCCCCTCCCCACAACAGGAACGCGGGTTTCAGGGGTATGCAGAATCCCCTCAAGTCCCCGGCACAAGCCCTCTGTGAACCCTGACCTAGTGCAACCAACCAACACAGATTTATACAAACATCTCAATTTATTTAGGTCTTTCTATTCATTTAAAAGGCAGTACCCCTTTTAAACAAACTTGGATATCTGACTTCTCATGCTGCATGCTCATCAAACGGTGAGGTTTCCACATCTACTTATCATTTAACTTGATGCTGAGTATTTCGTGGTTTAACCAAATTTAAAATAGCAGCTGGATCTGGGTGATGAGGGGAAGGGCCCAGGTTCCTGGGCTGCCACCCCAAGCCTGCAGTGGGCAGTGTCTGCCCTCAGGCTCCCCTCTTATCACCAAATCAGCCCTGAGGGAGGAGGGCTTGGCTGGGAGGCTGGGGAGGCTAAGGCCTCAGGGCAGGTGGGACGGGAAGCACCCCGAATGCACCCTAGAGACAGAGTGCCCCCTGCAGTGTTTTGCAGCTCCTAAGCAGCAGGGCATGGCTTCCCCTTACCTTTTTCACCAGAATACCAGATGTAGATATTTATAAGTCGCTGAGAGGTGAACCGGCCCTGCTTTAGTAGGTTAAGTATGGATCATTTGCCCACTGACTTAGGATAACAATTGTAAAAGAAAATGGGACAACAAAGGCACCTAACTATTCACTCAAAATATGCTTATATAATCAGAATATTATGGAAATAAAATATGGGTAAGTATTTTCATAAAATAAAGTGGTGTGTCTCCATATGTCACATGGACCTAAATCCAGTCTGAGACCTGAAGCCAAGCATGTATTTGCATCTTCAAGATTAAGTGTGGTATTTCACTGGAAAAGAAATGTTTGCGTTGTGGGGGCCAGGGTGGGACCCTCAGGAACCACCATGAAACTGAGGGCTTAATGCACACACATCTTCTTTATAAATGGTTATGTAAATATATTGTCTCAAACAGAAACTACTAGTTATACTCCCCAATCTCCAATTCATACTAACTTGTGTTTTGATTGAAGACTAATTTGAGGGGTGGTGGTGAAAAGTAGTTTAATAAAAGCCAATTTTTAAATAATAGAGCTTGTCACTTAAAATGTACACTTTTTAAGGAATTATGACTAGGAGTGTCCCAGTTAGTCTATTTAGAAAAGAGCATTGTAAATGTCTTTTATTATTCCTGAAGGTTTTCCATGTAGTACAAAGGCAGTAATCCCCACAGTGAACAAATATGGGATTGTATTTTTCAAGATGAAAGCAATCAAAAGATATGCAAAAGGCAAACACATTTAGTTTCCTAATGATGACCTTACCATTTGTTCTTTAATAGAATTTTCAATCCCAGCTTGCACCATTAGGTCATTAACATTCTTCTGTAAATCCTCAATGCGTTTTCCCATTTCTTCCAGTATAACGTTAAGGAGAATTGTACGTGGGGTCCAGAGCACCAGCCAGAAGGCCCTGAAAGACCCTACTTCAAACTGCACCTACCCATCAAGGCGACTGATAAAAATGCCCCAGCAGTGCATTTTAAAATGAGGGAGTCAAACACTGCATGTACTAACACCTTTGGGTCAGTGCAAATTAACTATTTCCCTGAGGTTTTTGCAATGTGTCTTTAACCTCTGAGCTGTGAGCTCAGTGCTGAAAACTTGGCTCCCCTTGTGTACATACACACACAGGGACATGAGATGATCTGGTATGTTTATGTTTTAACTAAACTCTATAATGAGTATGTATATATAATGGAACTTAATTCTGTTTAAAACCAACTTCCCTACAGTTTAATTTTATCATGTTTAAGAATATTTTTTCCCCTATGTGAACCCATCTACAGAATCAAAATTTGAAGTAAATGGTTCCATATGCAAATACTTTGCATATATTTTCTATGGAATGAATTTAATTGTGTAAAGTGAGCTCTAGCTCGCCAAGTCTTAGGGCAGATGTTACCATTATCTGGCTTTGCTTGAAGTGGAAACAAACTTTCTACTCTAATTCTGTTTGAAGTCACGTCTTAACAAAATGGTGAGAGGCTAAAGTTGTAAAAGAAAACAAAGGTCGGGAGAGCCACTTATAGTTGAAGACGTTCTGTATTATGTTTGCAAGTTTCGGATTGCTTGGTAGAGTATAAATGTTATTCAGCAGACTACCCAGATTTATTTAGGGCTTGGTGGAAATGCCCCACTGGGTAGTGTTGTGCATTGTGTCCTTGCATTTTATCATTGTCATACAAAATGCCCTCTATTGCTGTCCACGCACAAAGTAAGTACCTGTGAATGCTAATGACTACATCAGGGCACCATGGAAGGGCACAAATGTAAGCACCAGGAAATCCTAGGTCAACAATTATCCACTAGTAGCAGACAAAAAGGTATTCCAGGATAATTTTAGAGTTCAAAAGCATCACAGTATTTGTTATAAGATAGAAAAGGATATTTCTGAGGTTTAACGTTGCAGTCAGAGCTTGAAAATGTTCTTGAAGTTCCTGAAATAGATTTTCTGCCTGAAAAAATAAACCATAGGACAACTGAATGTAATATTTACTTTTTTTGGGTCTCTTGATGTCTCAAATTTAATTAAATTAGATCTATCACCTTCCTTTTATTTTTTTAATATTTACTCTTGATGTAGGGCATTTTAGCATCATGGAATAGAATCATCCTTATTTAGTTAGTTAGATTTTCGACAAGGTGCCAAGGTCTTTCAATTCAAAGGGTAAGGAAAATCTCTTCAAAATAGTCCTGGAACAATGAGATAGCCAAACACAGGCCTGACCCTTACCTCACACCGTACACAAAAATTAACTCAAAATGATCATACACCTGTCAGCACTAAAACTACCAAATGTCCAGGAGATAACACAGGAGAATGCCTTAAAACTTTGGGTCCCTTTGAGAATTCCTGAGGAGCGCTGACCCAGCATCCAGAGCACCTGCCCCCGGGCATTGTACCTGCCCTCCACCCTCCACCCTCCACTGTGGGCTACTTAGTAGCGGGGGTGGGGATTGCAGATGCTGTGTAACAGACCTTAGAGAAATACCAGTATTGTTACTGATCACAAACCATATCTCTATGTTGCTTTCCTCGTACCATGTCTACAACTCCCTGCTCACACCCGTGTATTATCTCCACTGTAGAGATGAGGAAGCAGAGGCGGGGATCAATCTAGAATCTGCTTTTACAGAGGAAGAGGCTGCGGCGCCTTCAATCAGTAGCGGTTTCCCTTCAGAGGGGGTTTCTTCTGTTTTTTCAACGGTTGTCAGGAATATGTAGACTCCAGTATGTACAACATCTAACAAATTCTTTTCAAGAAGACAAACCAACCAGCCTTTCGATGTGGCCCCTGAGTCGCAGCGTCGGCGTCTCAGGCGAGAGCTCTTGCGGCAAATAGGAAGCCGGAAGGGGTGGGGGCGCGAAGGGCTTGCGGGGGGCGGGGGGACTGCCCGAGTTCCCTAGCCACGCCCACGGTCGACCCGCCCTCAGCCCCGAGGCTGTGCCAGATGCGGAGGGACGCGGAGGAGCGGAGGGAGGGGACCCCACTCACCGCGTCGCGCAGCGCATCCCCGCCAGGGGCTTTGGGTCCCCGCGCGTCCATGGCGAATGGGTCCCAGTGGGCCGGCTGGTTCCGGGTAGTCCCGTGGGCCCAGTGGTCCAGGTGGTCCAGATGGTCCCGGCGGGCCGGGTGGTCGGGTGGTTCCCGGTGGGCCCGATGGGTCCCGTGGGCCCGGGTGGTCCCAGGGGGCCGGGTGGTTCCGGGTGGTCGGGTGGTTGCCGGTGGGCCTGGTGGGCCCCGTGGGCCTGGGTGGTTCCGGGTAGGCCCGGTGGTTCCTGGTGTGTCCCGTGGGCCCGGGTGGTCCCAGTGGGCCGGGTGGTTCCGGGTGCGCCCGGTGGCCCCCGGGGGTCAGCTGCACTGCACCCGGACAGGTCCCGGCAGCGGCGGCAGGGCTGCTTCGGCGGCCTGTCGCCGAGATGCTCAGGCTGCAGAGGGGAATATTGGAGGAGCCTCGATGTGGGAAAGAGCGCAGCAGCTTAGGTCCCCAGAAGTGAATTCCGGGACAGGGCGCGGCTGCCGGTGCCGCGGACAGGCAAACAAAACCCACAGGCAGGTCCGGGGAGGAGGCCCGGGGAAGTGGCTCGGGGAGGTGAGGGTGGCTCCTCCAGGCGTGATGGTCACTTTTCCCGGGGAGGGAGGGGCGACCCTGTGCAGGGACAAGGTAGCTGGTCCTGTTGGGCAGCTCACCCTGCACAAGACTGGTTTGCTTTGTTTTCATTGCATCAGAGATGAAAGAGGTAGGCAGAGTGAGCTCATCTTCTTCTTCTTCTTTTGGTAAAATATACACAATATAAAATTTACCATCTTAACCAGGTCTGACTAGGTATATGGTGCAGCGGCAGTGAGCACATTCACGTCAAACTGCTGTGCGGGGTCCCCACAGCTCACCTGCAGAATCCCTTCACCTTCCCAAACTGAAACTCTGCACCCCTTACTCGTGAACTCCCCCTCCCCGGCCCCTGGCACCCACCATCCCCCCTTCTGTCCTTACGTTCCTGGGTTTTTATGTGTGTTGTCAATCTCTCTAAGGAGATTGTGGACACGCCCCGGTGTAACTCAGCTGTAGCCCACACACAGCCCAAGGGTGCACGCCCGTCCTGGGCCACAATTCCCCCTCCAGGGGACGGCCATCTCTTTACATCTCTGCCATTTCTGTGGTCAACCTTAAAACTAAAACATGACCGAGCCTGACACACCGTCAGCACTGGTATCCCTATTCCGATTTGATTGACCATCTGGAAGGAAGATCTAGTGACCCAGTCCCTCCTTCCAGTGCCCTTAAGGCCTGTCTGGATTGTGGCTCGTGGGTCACTTCATGGGTGACCCCCCAGGGCCCTGATTTTAGCAGGTTCTGTCTGGGTCACCCCCCTGTCCCAGGGGCCCGGCCAGGCAACAACAGGTGGATACCTGGGTTGTTGAATGTGTGTGTGAAACACGAGCATGCGTGCAAAGATGCCCAATGTCGTCAATCATCAGGAGAAGGCCCATCAAGCCCCAGTGAGATCCCACTGTACGCCCACTATGAAGCCTAGAATCAAGACACAGACAAGGACAGTTGTTGGCAAGGGTGTGGCAAAGTTCGAGCTCTTACAGGTTGCTGGTGGGATACAGCCAGTGTGGAGACTGGCTGTTCTGCAGAGTTAAACATAAAGTTACCATATAACCTGAATTCTACCTCTAGATATATACACAAGAGGAAGGGCAACATATATGTCACACAAACATTCACAGCAGCGTTATCAACAGTAGTTAAAAAGTGGAAATAGGCTCCTGGCTGGCTCAGTCGGGGGAGCATGGGACTCTTGACCTTGGGGTTGTGAATTCAAGCCCCACGTTCAGTGCATTGAGCATCTGCCTTCGGCTCAGGTTGTGATCCCAGGGTCCTGGGATGAGCCCCACATTGGGCTCCCTGCTCAGCGGGAAGCCTGTTTCTCCCTCTGCCTCTCCCCCTGCTTGTGTTCCCTCTCTCGCTGTCTCTCTCTCCTTGTCAAATAAATAAAATCTTAAAAAAACCCAAGTTATTTAAAAAAAATAAAATAAAATGTTAAGAAAAACAAGTTATTTAAAAAAATAAAATCTTAAAAAAAAAGGTGGAAACAGCCCAAATATCCACCAAAAGACAACGAATGGACAAGCAAAATGTGGTCCATCCATGCAGTGGAATATTGCTCAGCTCTGAGAAGGAGGAAAGCCCTGAGGCGCAACATGGATGAAGCTTGGACACTTCATGCTGAGTGGCAGGACCCAGTCACGAAAGGCCATGCATTGTAGGATTCCAGTTCTAAGAAATGTCCACAATTGGTGAATCTAAGGGAGAAAGCAGACTGGTGGTTGCTGAGGGCTGGAGAGTAGGGGCATGGGAGACACTGCTCAGTAGTTAAGGGGTTTCTTTGGGGGGGCAAAAAATAGTCTAAAATTAGATTATGGTGGTGGGTGCACAACCCTTGGAAGCAACTACAACTCATTGATTTGTATATGCTAAATGGCTGGATTTTATGGTATGTGAATTATCTCAATAAAGCTGTTAAAGTAATAGCTTTTTTTAAAAAGATTTTTTATTTTATTTATTCATGAGAGACGGGGGTGGGGTGGGAGAGAGAGAGAGAGAGAGAAGCAGGCTCCCAGTGAGCAGGGAGCCCAATGCGGGACTCGATCCCAGGACCCCGGGATCATGACCTGAGCCGAAGGCAGACGCCCAACCATCCGAGCCACCCAGGCGTCCTAAAGTAATAGCTTTTTATTTAATTTTTTTAAAGCTTTTATTTATTTATTTGAGAGAGAGAGAGCACATGAGAAGGGGGAGGGTCAGAGGGAGAAGCAGACTCCCTGCTGAGCAGGAAGCCCGATGCAGGACTCAATCCCGGGACTCAATCCCGGGTCTCCAGGACCACAACCTGAGCCGAAGGCAGTCGCCTAACCAACTGAGCCACCCAGGCACCCCAAAGTAATAGCTTTTTAAAAGCATGGCCACTTTTCATGTCTTTTTAAGCATCTTCCCTCTGAGAGGGGCTGAGAAGGAAAGAAGTGCAGTGTGAACACTGGTGTGTGGGAGATGGGAGGGGGACATTCTGTCTGGGCTACCGGGGAAGAGGGGGTTAGGCGGGGAGGGTCATGGGCTAAGCCCTGGGTGAGGAATCTGGTCAGACGGCTTCTGGTTTCTCTCTGAAGGAGGCAGAGGTGGGGAGCCACCTGCAGAAGGAGGAGGCCTCATGCAGGGTGATCTGTGTTCTCTCTCAGCCCCTGAGGACCCAACGAAAACCTGCTAGGCCGGAGGGGCCAGCCTGGCATTCTCGAAGACGGGAAGCTCCTCCTCTGCAAGGGCAGGTTCCCTCCTGCAGGCAAACAGCCTCCTGGACACCCCTCCACACAGGGCCGGCTGCAAGGTGCTGGGCATTTCTGACAGCCTGTGCTGGCTGTCTTAGGCTGGGGCAAGGCAGACCTTGTGAACATCCTGGGGAGTGTGTTCTGGTGGAGCACTCGATACTAATACCTGGTCCTAGCTAAAGGTCCGTGTTCCTGTGCACTCTCATACCCCACAGTGACTATACCTCCCTTGTTTTTAACTACAGACAGTATTCAGCAGGCAGGGAGCTTGGCCTGGCTCACGGGAGCCTGGAACTGGAAATGCAGAAGAGCAGAGGCTCTTGTCTCTCACCTGCATGTGCTTCTCTTCCCCAAGGAGCCTGTCTGTGAGTCTGCCCAGCCAGGCCTTAACTGATCATTCAGTTCAAGCTTCCAGGACCGCCTGACCAAGGCAGTTAGCATCCGTGTGCCCGGCAGCCCCTGGGGAAACAAAGACAGGGGCCCCCTGCCCAGAGAGTGGCTGGAGGCCCAGGGGCAGGTCACAGGTTCTCTCCAGGTGGATCTGATAGAGGTGGCCCAGAAGCCCCCTTCAGGAGGTAGAGCCTGAGAAACTCCCATCAGAGTCTGAGGCCTAAGAAGGAAGGGCCTCGGAACCAGTCTCCTCACTGAGTTGGGGATGGTGAGAAATTGTGTGGGGTGAGGGTTCATGCAGTCACCAGGAGAGAGAATCCATAGGGTGGATAGGAAGATTCTAGAAGTGGAGCTGGCGGGGGGGGCGGGTGGCCTGGAATGGAGGCAGAAGTCACTGGAGGTGGGCTGTTCAGGGTCTGGGCGGTTAAACAGCATCCTCTGTGGTTCTCAAGCCATAGCATCCAAGTCGTTTGGTGCCCTTCCTGAGCCCAGGAATCTGCATTTCGACAAGCACATCGTGTATTACCCTCTGTGCACCCGTGATGTGTGGTAGTGTTGGGCCAGGGTCGGAGCAGGCTCCACGACGCTGGGACTTTCGGGGAGAGGAATAGGAAGGCTTAGTTTTGTGTGTGGGGGTCGCAAATACTACAAATTCCCAGCAGGATGCAACTGGGAGACAAAGCTGCGTCCGCTGACCTAGGATAGGAGAAGCGTCATAGAAAGGGGAATACCCAAATACTTTCTGGAAGAGGGGCTAATATTTATTATTTCCACCTTCGTTCATCTCCACAATAACCCATGCAAGGCAAAGATTGGGACCCATGTCAACTTCACGGAGTTGTTTGAGATCGCAGCACAGGGCCGGGAGCAGGGCGTCCCACTGAGGAAATCCATCAAAGGCACATCAACAGAATGAAAAGGCCACCTGCAGAATGGGAATATTTGCAAGTCATGTATCAGATGAGGAATTGATACCAGAATATTTAGAGAGTTCCTAAAACTGAACAACAAACAACCTGATAAAAATGGGCAAAGGACTTGAGCAGACATCTCTCCAAAGATCATGTGCACATGAAAAGATACCCTACATCACTGGCCAGAGGGAAATGCAAATCCGAACCACAGGGAGGCAAATTTCACATTCATTATGATGGCTATTATCAAAACCCCAGAAACGTGTCGATGAGGATGTGGAGAAATTGGAACTCTCGTGTGTTGCTGGTGAGAACTTACAATGGTGCAGCATGTGGAGGGTGGTACAGCAGGTCCTCAAAAAATTAAAAATAGAATCACTATATTAATCAGCAATTCCACCTCTGGGCATACACCCCAGAAAGTGAAAACAGGGACTTGAAAAGGTATTTGTACACCCATGTTCATAGCAGTATTATTTGCAACAGCCGGAACACGGAAGCAGCCCATGTGTCCACGGATGGATGAGTGGATAAATAAAATGTGATACACACACAGGAATGTTATGCAGCCCTAAAAAGGAAGGAAATTCTGACATAGACTGCAACGTGGGTGAACCTGGAGAGCACTATGCTCCGTGAAAGGAGCCATCTTCACAGGGATCGACACTGAAGGATTCCCCTCATATGAAGCACACAGAGTATTCACATTCATAATGACAGAAAGCAGGGTGGCAGGTGCCAGGGGCTGGGGAGAGGGAGAAATGGGGGCTGATGTTTACTGGGAGTGGAGTTTCAGTTTGGGAAGATGACAAAGTTCTGGGGACAGATGGTGGTGATGGCTGCACAGTGGTGTGAATGTCTTACTGCTAATGAACGGAACACGTAAAAATGGTTAAAATAGCAACATTTGACATTATATGTATTTTACCACAATTTTTTTAAAAGTACATTTTGCGAGCTTCAGGGGCACCTGTGTGGCGCAGTCGGTTGAGTGCTTGACTCTTGGTTTCAGCTCAGATCGCGATCTCGGGGTCGTGAGATCCAGCCCTGCATTGGGCTCTGTGCTCAGCGGGGAGTCTGCTTGGGATTCTCTCTCCCTCCCGCTGCCTCTCCCCATCATAAATAAATAAATAAATAAATAAATAAATAAATAAATAAATAAGATCTTTATGAAAAATCTGTAAGAAATGAAGGGTTCTTTTGGTGTATATATTTGGGTACACAGATTTGAGTATAGAATTTTTTGCTTCTTTTTATTCTAAAATAGTTGCAATGTTTTCATAATTTAAGAATATTTATAATTATTTTAGTTTTCATAATTTTTTCATGTTTTAATGCAATATTACCCACTATTTTTTGATCCACGAATTATTTACTCTGCACTTCTGGCCCCCTTTACAATAAGCGCTCTCTCCTGGAAGCAACCCTCCTGGGCCACGGGGACATCTGCGCTGCATGTGAATTTTAAAACAGTGACCATAAAATCTGGCTGCACACTGAGCCCCGGGAGGCTTGTCAGTGCAGAAGCCGTGGAATGAGGAAGCCAGAGGAACCCAGGAGAGGGGGACAGAGGTGAGGCTTCCCCACATGCAGAAGGACCTTTATTTTCTCTAATTTGGATACAAACTAACGTGCCACTATGAGTTGTCTAGACTTTGAAACTAGATTTTCGAAATACTCTTTCTTCTGGCTGCTCAAATCTGCCTTTGGTTTATCTGATGAATGTTGCATCTCAGTTGCTGCCCTTCCAGCTCCGGAACTTCCCTTGGGTTTCTTGTTAGGTTTTCTTCCTCGTTACTGATATTTCCATTTTGTTCATACTTTTATTCATGATTTTATCCACTACTTCCTCTAGTTCTTTGAGCATCTTTTTTTTAAAAGATTTTATTTATTTGAGAGAGAATGAGTGGTGATGGGGAGGGGCAGAGGGAGAGGAGAAGCAGACCCCCCACTGAGCAAGGAGTCCAACACGGGGCTCGATCCCAGGACCCCAGGATCGTGACCTGAGCGAAGGCAGATGTTGAACTGACTGAGCCACCCAGGTGCCCTTCTTTGAGCATCTTTAAGACAGTTGCTTTAAAGTCTGACTAGTAGATCTGACCTCAGGTCTTTTTTAGGGACAGATTTTGTTGAGTTCTCTTTTTCCTTTCAGTGGGCCAGACTCTGCTGTTTCCTTCTGTGCCTTGTGATTTTTTGGCTGACCACCGAACATTCGAATCTCATGATGTGGTACCTCTGGAAATCAGATTCTCCCCCTTCCCCAGGGTTTGCTGTTTTGTTGTCATCGTTCTTTTGATGGTTGCGGGCTGTCTCTGTGCCGAGGACCAGCCTGAGGTGTAAACTGAATGTCTCCTCAGGGCTTTTCTGAGCCTTTCCTTGGGCATGCGCGGTCCCTTCCTAATTCCCACGTATGCAGCTCTTTTTGAATGTCCCACTCTGTGGCTCCCAAAAGGGGAAAAGTGAAAAGCAAAAGGGGGACAAGGGGCCCTCGCCCTTCCAATGCCCTTGGAGTCACTGGAGCTGGAGGGCCGACAGCGAGGGCCGCCAGGCTCTGTGTCTGCACCTGTGTGATCAGAAGCAGCCGGGAGTGGTCAGAGCTTAGACTCCTGCTCTTTGGAGGATGGGGTGCTTCTTGCCCACCTGGCGTCTGCAGGCTGCCCCAGAAACACGTGCACAGCTGCCTGCCGCACGGCTGGGTAGCTGCTCTGTGCTGGCAGCTAGAAGAGACCAAAACTGACTACTTCTCCTGGACAGCTGCAAGCCTTCAGCCGACTCCGCAGTCCCCAAATAGTCCCATTAGACAGATTCTGCCGTGTGGTCATTGCCCGGTGGGCAGAGATTCCTGGTGCTCCCTCCTCTGCCCCCCTCCCAGGAGCCTCTCCAAGGTTACAAGTGATGTTGGAAAGAACGTTAGGGTTCAAAGCCGATGGCCAAGAAAGAATTCTTGAGACATTTTTGGTGCAAAAAGGTGGTTTTATTAAAGCAGAGGGACAGGAGCCCTGGGCAGAAAGAGCGGCACCGGGGCCAGGAGGAGTGGCCCATTATATACTTTCACGTTGGGAGGGGGTTAGGGTTAAAGTAAGTCTCTAAGGAATTTTGGAAGCAAGGTTTCCAGGACCTTGAGGGGTCTGGCTATTGTTGGGAAAATGTCATTTATTACGTCTGATAAAACCTGAGTCATGAGACCCTTCAGATGTACATCGGTGGGCCATATGCTTGGGGGATGACGGCCAACATGTATCTTGAGGGGGATAGAGATAAATGAGGTTTCCAAAGGAATTTTTCTGTGTTAAAGCAGACTTATAGGATCCTGGGGGAGTTGGGATAATGTTAAGCTAAGGTTGCCTTTTGCCCTCAGCAAAGTATTAACACGGAGGCAGCTGAGTCCCTGGAGGAAGGTCACTCTGCCTGTTTCAAGGACTTGTCAATGGGCTGTAGGTAGTAAGGAAATTTATTAATTTTTTTCTGCCTTTGTTTCCCACATCATTCCTTCCTGAACAATTTTGACCCTTAAATCTTTAGGTAGGTTGCTGAGGTCGGAAGGTCTCATTTTCTGTAACTTCTTCCCGCTGAACAGGGGCAGAGAGATGTGCCTACCTATGGGTCAACACTGGTCAGTTGGGGCTTATATAGATATAGGAGTTACGAAAGGCAGTGGCAGCTGAATCCAAGGGAGACATGTGTGGATCATCCTGAGTGGAAAGGATTATCTGTCGGATGGAAGTTATGGAGTGAAGGAGTCTCGACTCCTTCAGGTCCAGGTGGAAAGGCATGGAAGAAAAGAACAAAACATGATTAGTGTAACAAAAAGGAAAAGAAGCCCAACTCAGAGTCCTTTGGTAGTTGACAAAAGTCCTTCTCCAGTCCAGGAGTTTAACCAATCATTAAAGGAAAGAGAGGGATTATTTAGAGCGCCAATTTGAGTGTTCATGTCAGAAACCCAGAAATAGTTTGTGGTAATCTGGAATATGTATGCATAGCATTGTGTTTTTATGATAGCACAAATTTTCACCTTTTGTAGCAGTTAAAACATCTCATGCCATTCTATTTTGTAAAACTGCTTTAAGCATTTGTGTTACTTCAGTATTTAGTAGAGAAATGCTATTTTGGGTATCACTTAGGGCCTTGACGGTGTACTTATTAAGATGGATGTTAGAAAAAAAAAGATGGATGTTAGTTGGTCATACCAATGAGACACAGAATGTGTTCACCATTGTTTTAAGTTTGGAAGGCTGGCTAGGTTGGCAATGGTTTTAATGATGTGTCTATGCATCCAGGCAAAACCCAGGGTACGGTGGCCTCTCCAGCCTGAGGGAAAGCCGTGGGACACAAGCTAGAGCCACGTAGCCACTGGGTCCCGCTGGGAGACAATCGTCTAAATCTGGGCCCCTTTAACTGTAGTAACGATATCAAGGGCTGTTCAGATTTGGAGGGCCATCTTTTGAATGTGTACTAAAGGACAGTCCATTGTTACTTTGTAGGGACCAAAGGGAGTCCAAATCTAGGGACAGTTTCTCTTAGCAAAGCTTTTGTCGTCTCAGTGGCCTTTTTACTCAAATCAGTAGCCTAGTGTAAAGCCTGTATTACCTTCCATTGGTTATTCTTGGGTATAAAGATTTTCCCCTCATTATTAACAAGCCACTCCTGTGCATTTCTCGGTCTGAATAGGCTGGACTTACGGACTTTATTGGAGTTAAGTCTGGTAAAAGACTTATTTGCTCTTTTGTACTGCCTCTTGGCTGCATAGTCTATTGAATTGTTTCCTTTAGATTCTAAGGTCATATCCTTTGATGTCCTTTGAGGTGAATTACAGCTACGTCATCAGGCCTTAAGAGGAGTTATAATAACTTCAGGCCCCTATTTGGTTGGGGAGTTATGGCTTGATAATAATCCCCCTCCCTTTTTAAAAGATTTTCTTTATTTGACAGAGAGAAGACTGAGAGAGAGAGAGAGAGAGAGAGAGAGAGAGAGAGAGAGAAGCAGGGGGAGTGGAAGAGGGAGAAGCAGGCTTCCTGCTGAGCTGGGAGCCTGATGGGGGACTCAATCCCACGTCCCCGGGATCATGATCTGAGCTGAAGGCAGACGCTTAATGACTGAGCCACCCAGGCGCCCAGATAATAATCCACTTTTCTTCCAAATTGCTCTGTGAGCATGTAGGACTAGGGAAGCATATTTGGAATCAATATAAATATCAATTTTTCTTATTCCTTCTTCCATGAAACTATTGCCATCAGTAAACTGACTGTCATCTGTATTTTCAATAGGGACATCTTTTAAATCTGATTGACTAGAATAAACAAGATCAATAACCTCTAAATAGTTATGCTCTACAGAAGCACAATGGTCAGGTCCAGGCATAAGGGTAGCTGGGTTTAAAGTCTGACAGGTTTCAAGTATTATTTCAGGCATATCTATAAGTGTAGCCTGGTATTTAATAAGTCAGCCTCCATCATCCATTGGTGGCATTTGGTCTCTAAGACACTGAACCTGATGTGAAGTCATTACTGTCAGGGATTGTCCCAGAGTGAGCTTTGAGGCTCCTTTTACCAGGAGAGCTCTTATAAGCTTAGCTAAAGCCTTTGTTTGCAATTCGACCTCAATAGAGGTGGCTTCTAGGATAAATATGACTAAGGGATAATACCATCAAGAAGACCTCTTTATGAGGTCCAGCATTAACAATATCCTAATTACAAGGAATCACTGCCAAGTGGGAGAAACTTGTCAAGGGATAAGGGCACCTCCAGGTGCATCATCCAATCCAATCATAAAGAAAGTGGGGTCATCCATTATCTCCACAAGCCCATAGTTAACCCCATAGAGTGGGGTATGCTCTGGCTTTTAAGGAGCAATTTTGTAATCCCAGCCACACAGAATTGGTCAAGGTGATAGCTGAATTATACAATTGTTGAGGCATCTATCCCATTTCCCAGTTGTTCAAATAATCATATGCCCATGGGGTCCTGTTATTATCCTCACAGAATAACAAGCAAGGAGATTGTCTATACATGAGCTACTGTGGTAATTTCTCTTAAGTTTACCTCAAGTTGTCTAGCCTAGGTAAACAACAAACATGTAAAGACAATCAGATCTAAAATTTAACATCCACAAAGGTGTGTTACTGAAACATAATTTTTCTCTCTAAAATAACCCTCATATTTAAATCAGAGATAGCCAAATCAGGACTAATTTATTCAAAAAACAAGTCCAATTTTAACAAACTTATCCTAATGATTTAAATAAGCTCAGCAAGAATAATGATTGATGATATAAATCTTTCAGAATCTGCTTTGCTGGAACTTTTATAAGGAACCTCTAGGTTGAACTCTTAGTAGTCTATCCAGGCCGGAAGCCAAGCCAAGTACTTGCCATCACACATGCCTGCAATACCTGTAGATGTGGGTGGATTCCTCTCCATGAGGTCCTCAAAGTATCCAGAGGTTCGTGCACCTGCCAAGAAGTGACATTCTTTACTCACCTGGTAAGGCTGCTGGGAACTCTGTAAGCAAGGTGTGAGGCCAACATTTCCAAGGGGTTATGGCTCCAGGTTTCATAAAGTCAACCTCAGTTCCTCAAAGCTGTCTAGTCATATCTGAGTCTATACATGTCTCTCTCAAATATGACATTCCAGTCAAAGCCTTGGTAAAATAGCCAATGTTTCCAATGATGTCCTGTTAAAGGAGAACAGATTCTTATTGAACTTATGCAAATGACTATGGTTACCATGGAAGAAAGAATACTTGCTGAGACCTTTTTAATTTCAGGAGAGAAAAGTTAAATGCTTCAATTTGTTCACAAATAAATACTTTGTTATGTTACTGTAAGTCATAGATATCCTATGTGAAAGTTTCCTTAATCTGGAATAGTAAACATTAGAAAACCAGCAATGTTTCAAACAAGAGTCACAAAACTATAATCATCTTTTTAGTTCATTTAGTCCCATGTTACTAATTCTTGTTTAGTTTGCAGCTTTTAGTTAGTTTTGGAAATTCTTACTCATTTCAGTTTTGATCTGAAAGATATTGAATACCTATTTTTGCCCTAAAAGTCCTTTATATGAACCTTCTTGAAGATAAAATTCATTTTGTAAGACAATAAGAACAATTATAAATGACAAAAACTCAGAAATGGACATTGTTAATGATCTGATTTGAGAGTTCATTATGATGCAATTGACAAGGAAACTCAGTTATTTCTGTGACACATAACACTTTCATAGCCAGAATATCTCCTTATACCAGAATGTAACATACCAAACAAAAAGCCTAATTAGTCAATGAGACTTTCTTTGTTTACGATTTAAATCTTGGAGAAGTTTGTTAAAACCTTAGAAAGTTTTAAAGCACATGCCTAGATAGGATTAGGGATGGTCAAACACCTGATAAAGGCAAAACACAGAGACTGGTTTTTCTGGGCAAAAAGAAAACAACTTGTTTACATTTTCTTATCAAGAGCAGACCAACAATTCAAGAAAACTTGTCTTTTTGACAGAGGGAAAGCAGACTTTCTTTTTTTTTTTTAAGATTTATTTATTTATTTTGAGAGAGAGAGAATGAGAGAGAGAGAGCATGAGAGGGGGGAGGGCCAGAGGGAGAAGCAGGTTCCCCGCTGAGCAGGGAGCCCGATGCGGGACTCGATCCCGGGACTCCAGGATCATGACCTGAGCCGAAGGCAGTCGCTTAACCAACTGAGCCACCCAGGCGCCCTGAGAAAGCAGACTTTCAATCTTATACCAATGTACTTTAAAATCCATTCATTTCAATCTTAGTCCGTCCTGACTATGCCTGAAATTCCTTTCCAAGGATTTCCCTTTACAAACCTACAACTTTCCTTTGCATTCAGATTTTGTCCCAAGCCATTTCTTTCCAAGCAACCATCTCATTTAGGACAAAATTGCCTTCTTTTACCTTCAACAAAAAATGCATTCCCATTCCTTATATCTTTCTTACATATCTCCTACTTTTCTACATACAGACTTATTTCCCTTATTTCCATCAGTCTTAATTACGTTTAGCAGAATTCTGCCCTCTTAGAAACCTTAGTCTCCAGTGAAGACTAAGTAGTAACCAGTGGTGAACTGTTAGACCAGAATTCTTTAGATGGCAAATTTATGAGCTGGTTAAGCACAAAGCAGGTTTACCAACAGACCTAAGTATTCTTAGCTTCTTTGCAATAGAAGTCAAAAGCACAAACCTACATCCAGTAATCAATGACTTAGCACTTTATCCTATTTGAAAAAGACCTAGATGTCCAATGACTTTAATCCCATGTATCATCCAAGCAAAACTTTAAGTTTCAGGTTACCAAAGACTTTGAAAGCTATCTTAACAATTACCCCTGAAAACTTTGAAACAGACAAGATTAACCATCATTTTAGGGCATCTTTTGGCTAACAAATTGCAACAGGGATAACACGAGCTTATCTCATCTTCAGCAAACCTTGATGGAATAAAAGTCTCACGTTTAGTGCTGATAACTTTAAGGACATGTCTATCTTAATTAAACCAACAAACTTAACTTAGTTCAAATACCGAATTACGCTCCACCTGGATCCTCCTCATTGTCAGTTTTTACCTGAGACGCTGGTGGGGAAATCTGGAGTGGGTGGTGTTAGGTCCAGGGGGTGCTCTTCTCGCTCCTTGACAGCGAAGGGAGAAGGGGCCATGGTGCCTGAGGCACCGAGGATGGGACAGAAGCCAGTCATGCCGCCGGCACCCAAAAGGTGGTGCGGAAACAGAAGGTGGGGGGGGGGAGACAGAAGAGGCAAAGTGCTGCCGGAGGCAGAGAAAGGGTTCTAGAGCTCCTCAGCTCCAGCAGAGGCGCAGATGCCATGTTTTCCCGCCAACAAGGGGGGAGGGGTTAGGCAGTCCATGTCCACCAGAGAAGACTGGGAATTTCCCCAAAACAAAGGGAGTTTGGGCAGCTGCTTGGGAATATTCCTTAAAGCACCGCTCCCAAGGGAGACTAACCACATTTGGCTCCAGTTACAGCCGTTAACCTGGGAAATGAGTGAGGCTAGAAACCCCCACATCTATTAGAAGGAACAGAGAGAGTTAGCGTCCCCTTTGTCTGGGAGGACCTGTGTTTCCTCCAGCAACGTGGGTTTATTTGGAGGAGGCCTATTTAGATAATTATCATCCAATATGTAAGGAGGGGGTTTACTAGCTGACACATTTGGGCAAACACATTCTGCAAGAGGCCTTTAGGTCCGGGACCTGGTGTAGAGCAATGAAGGCCTAGGTACGAGCAATGAAGGTACCCTAGGTCCATTTGCCCTGTTTCCTGCAGGAGATCTAACTGACAGATCCTATTGAGGCCATGCAGAGCTTAGTCCTTTCCTAAGTTTTGTAATCCAAATTGCTTCTAGTGGGTTAAAAGGCACCCCAAGGGAGAGTCCTCAGGAGCTGAAGAAAAGAGAAGGTCCATTACCTAGAAAATCCCCCCTCCCCCACCAATTCCCGGGTGGCGTACCACATACAGGATATGTCAGAGGTTCCTCAAAGCCACCCGAGGTGTCCCCTGAACAAAATTGCTCTGACCACCACTGTGATAAGGGCCCCTGTAGGAGGGAGGACTGCCGTCCTCCCACTACCCCCTCACATTCTAGAGGATGGTGGGTGCCAGTGTATGGACTGAAATATAGTGCCTTGAAGGTCGTGCCGGGAAGGTCACGCCTTATTTTACCTTGCCTTGAAGAACCTGCCTTTTTTTTTAAAAAGATTTTATTTATTTATTTGAGAGAGAGAATGAGAGACAGAGAGCATGAGAGGGAAGAGGGTCAGAGGGAGAAACAGACTCCCCGCTGAGCAGGGAGTCCGATGCGGGACTCGATCCCGGGACTCCAGGATCATGACCTGAGCCGAAAGCAGTCGATCAACCAACTGAGCCACCCAGGCGCCCTGAAGAAACTGCCATTTTTAAACCATGGAGAACAATAGAAAACTTTTACAAGGGGAAATTACCCTATGTTGTAATTTAAGTAGTTAGTAGAAGACATTGACGGAAAACAGTAAAGATAGAAATCCATCATGATCTAAGTGACATTCCAACACATGTAGTCCTTACAGTCAACTTCTCTAGGAAATGGTCCCCAGTTGGGTTTTAATTCCATCAGGTACTGGTTTCGGCCGGCTCCCAGTGGAGGTCCCTTGGCCAGAAGCGGCTAGACCAGGGCTGTGGAGGGGATCCCAGTGGATCAATCAGGAGGAAACCTCACACGGGAGTCTTAAGATTGGCAGCTGTCCTGGTGACTTAGGTGGTTGTCTCGTGCCCAAGACAGACAACTTTGTATAAGGACAGGGCATGAAGTTTCTGGGTCTTATTACCATCCTGGCCAGGGGACCAACTTCCAGCCAAAAGGCAGGCTTTCTCCTCCCCATAGAGTAGCCACAGGCTAGAGGATTGCAGCCCGAGCAATTGGCATGCAGGTGTTCCAGTAAGACCATACTCCTTGAAGAGCCCCTGGAATGAGAGTAAAGGAAGAGGAGAGAAAGTGCTCACCAAGTTTGCACCGAAGCTCAGAGTCTGATGAGACTCTGGACTCAAAGCCCCACGTTGGGCACCATATGATGTTGGAAAGACATTAGGGTTCAAAGCTGATGGCCAAGAAAGACTTCTTGAGATGTCTTTGGTGTAAAAAGGTGATTTTATTACAGCCCGGGGCAGGATGTGTGGGCAGAAAGAGCAGCACTGCGGTCATAGGGAGCGGCCCGTGATATACTTTCAGGTTGGGAGGGTTAGGGAGAGTGTGAGTCTCTAAGGAATTTGGGAAGCAAGGTTTCCAGGACCTTTAGGGGCTAGCTGTTGTTGGGAAAAGGTCATTTATTACGTCTGATAAAACCTGAGTCATGAGACCCTTCAGATGTGTATCGATGGGCCGTATGCTTGGGGGATGACGGCCAACACGTATCTTGGGGGGCGGGTTTAGAGATAAAGGAAGTTTCGAAAGGAATTTTTATACGTTAAAGTAGACTCACAGGATCCTGGCGGTGGGTGTTGGGATAATGTTAAGCTAAGATTGCCTTTTGCCCTTAGCCAAGTTTTTTTTTTTTTTTTTTTAAGATTTTATTTAGTTATTTGACAGAGATAGAGACTGTGAGAGAGGGAACACAAGCAGGGGGAGTGGGAGAGGGAGAAGCAGGCTTCCCGCGGAGCAGGGAGCCCGATGCGGGGCTCGATCCCAGGACCCTGGGACCATGACCTGAGCCCATGACCTGAGTGGAAGGCCCGAGCCGCCCAGGAGCCCCGCCCTTAGCAAAGTATTAACACGGAGGCAGTTGAGTCCCTAGAGGAATGTCACTCTGCCTGTTTCAAGGACTTGTCAGTGGGCTGTAGGTAGTAAGGAAATTTAACAATTTTTTTCTGCCTTTGTTTCCCACATCACAAGCACCTTGAAAAGCTTGTAATAGATACTTTCAAATGTCCCCAATAAAGGTTGCCCCATCTCTCACCTTGACCAGCCTTTTATCTGGTTTTTATTCCATACTGTGCACTGCCAAAGGTGTCTTCAGCTCCCTCCCCAAAGCCATCCCGAGGTGCCTCCCAGCCTGTCAGTGGGTTCCTTTCTGTGTCCCACAGTTGCCTTGGGAACAAAACCGAAAACCTGAGGAAAACAACATGAAATTTCTTCTTTTTCAGGTGAACAATTTATCAAGTCAAAATCTTAATGAGGAAAAGCTAAGGAAACAATCCAGTGGGTTGGGGGACGGAGGGCAAGTGCCCAGCTCTCTGGGGTTCCAGTCAGAGCATGGGGACCCCAGGAAAGGTTCCCAGTGAGGTGTGTGGGAGGGAGAGAAACCTATAAGAATAAAGAGTCTTGGGGACTTGGTAGCCAGTTAATATACACTTTATAGTTAAAAATTCTTAGGGGGCCTGGCTGTAGCCCTTGGAAGATCACGTGACTCTCGATCTCAGGGTTGTGAGTTCAAGCCCCTCATTGAGTGTATAGATTACTAAAAAATAAATAAACTTTAAAAAATTCTCTTTAGGGGCGCCTGGGTGGCTCAGCTGGTTAAGTGTCTGCCTTCAGCTCAGGTCATGATCCCAGGGTCCTGGGATCGAGACCCGCATCGGGCTCCCTGCTCAGCGGGAAGCTTGTTTCTCCCTCTCCCACTCCCCCTGCTTGTGTTCCCTGTCTCTCTTGCTCTATCTGAAATCAATAAAATCTTTTAAAAATTCTCTTTAGTATAATTTATTTTCCTTTTACCGTATGGTTTTGCAAATGTAAAAACTGTGGTTTTGTCACTGCTCAGGGCAAGATCATGATTTAAAATATCTGAAGGAGGCGCCTGGGTGGCTCAGTTGGTTAAGCGACTGCCTTCGGCTCAGGTCATGATCCTGGAGTCCCGGGATCGAGTCCCGGGATCGAGTCCCGCATCGGGCTCCCTGCTCGGCAGGGAGTCTGCTTCTCCCTCTGACCCTCCCCTCTCTCATGCTCTCTATCTCATTCTCTCTCTCAAATAAATAAATAAAATCTTTAAAAAAAATATCTGAAGGAATGTGAATAAAAACAGAAAAATAAAGTTGCCTGAAGCATTTCTGGAGCATATTAATTATCCTTTAAAAAGTAGCCCACCCAGGAAGGCCAGTAGGAAGGAGGATCTCCAAAGGCCTGGAGCTGAGCTTCGACTGGGCAGAGAATGAATGTCCTGCCCCTCTGCTTCCTAAAATTTTAGTGTTAACATGAGGCCAGTGGAAGAAACCAGATATACAAGGTCCCTCATTGTAGGACTCCATGTATAGGATATATCCAGAATAGGTAAATCCCTAAAAACAGAGATTAGAGCAGTGTCTTCCAGGGGCTGGAGGGAGGGGAGCAGGGGAGGTGTGTGGTTTTATTCTGGGGTGAAGAAATGTTTGGGAGCCAGACAGGAAAGGAGTTGGCATAGCATTGTGAATGTACCAAATGTCATTGAATTATTCACTTTAACAGTGCTTAATGTGTGTTGTATGAATTTTGCCTCAATTTAAATATATAAGAAAAGGGGGAGGTTCATAAGCAAAAGTGTGTATTTCTGGAGACCGAGAGCCCTGTATGTGTGTGATCTGAATCAGCCAGGTGCCCTGCATTTTTTTTTTTTTAATAAGGTAACATTCACAGGTCCTGGGGATTAGGGTGATATATTTGGGGGCTATTCTCTGGCCTAGCTCAGCGTGGCTGGCTTCTTCTGTTTGGGAATGCAGGAAGCATCTCAGATGAGCTTTCCTCTCTTCTGCTTGACTGACCGATGGTTCTAGACCAGCGAGTGCACTCTGATCCCAGACAGTTGGTGTTTAAAAGGACTACAAGCTAACTCTCCAGTCATCAGCTCGCCTTACTGGAGACCTTTGTGGGCTAAAATCCTGGACCAAGAATGCAGGCTTGTATCCACTTAGCTGGGCTCTGCAGATGCTGTCCTGTGTGGACGCTCATCTGATACACTCTGATGGATCCAGAATGGCAGGTGGCTATGGGCTGGTGACCAATTTGCCCACACATGCCAGGATGAACAGATGAGCAGCTGTGACTCCAGATGCTCCAGTGGGATTCAGGAGGGAAGCCTATATAGCCTTACTCCAACCTCCAGAACAGAGTGAAACATTCTAGGGTTTTTAGAGCTCCGGGGAAGAGGTGGCTCAGTAGGAACACCCACTTTTTCCTCCTAGCCCTGCCACGGTTTCCTTGTCTGTGTTCCATTCCTGATGCTTGTTTCCTGGGGATACTCTGAGTAGCCATGACTCAGAAATACCTACATCAGCCTCAGAGATTGGAGGGGATTGAGAATGGGCCTGTGTTTTATTGAGGCCCTGCTCATCACACCAGGCTTGTCTGGGAGTTAGTCTCAGTGAGGTTGGAGCTCTTCCCATGATTTCTCATGAAACCTACCTGGTAGGAAGCAGGAGGGCAGGCCACCACTGGGAGTGGGGAAGCTGGCCAGCCAGGTGTGAGGCCCCAGTGCCACCCTTTCTCATCCGCCAGGCCTTCCTTTTTGGAGTGTTTTAGGTCTGCCCTTGTTGAGATGGGAACCCTGAGGGGAGCTCCCCTGCAGACAGAATCCTGGGGCCTTGCAGTTGGTCTCCTCTGCCCCGAGTCCCACCTGTAAGGGTGCTGGGCACACGGGGCTGGCTGGCTTCTCACAAGGGTCCTCACTGCCCCCCCCCCCCATCCCACCTGGGCCGTGGGCTTCCTGCACACCCAGCCCACCAGCATCTATGTCCAGAGCACCTGCACGAGGGCCCCTGGGGGCTCACCTTTGTCAGGGAACTCTGGAATTCCTATTTCTTTATCTGTCAGTGGGCACCCTATGGATTCACCTCACAGAACTGTGTGCTTGAGATAAAGCCGTGAACCACTTAGCAAGTTACAGAGTGGAGTTACTCTGCGTCTGATAAACTCGCGCCCTGAGCCGGTGGTGCTGGCTGCCGCCCTAAGTGACCCCCTGGGCCTGGTTCCCCAGAAGAGCCGCCCCTCCGCCTCACCCGAGACCAGGTTAGCTTCTGACACCTGCTGCTCAGGGCTCAGCCTGCGTCAGGATGGGGACCCCCCCCCCACAACTCCTCAGAATATGCAGCCGTGGAAGGATCACCTGGGGGCGCTCAGACACGACCTGCTGGCCTCAGACGCTGACCGGGTCCCCACGAGAGGGAGTCCCCACAAGAGGGGAGCCCCGGGCCTCGCGCAGACCTCCGCCAGAGACAGGACCGGGTCCTCCGCTCTCCGGGGCGCGCCGCGTCCACACGGCCTCTTGCCCGGGCACAGGTGCGGACGCGTCCACGTGGGTCCCTGGCTCTGGAGGAGCAGCCTCGCCAGCCAGGTACTTGCTAACCCGGGCCCGGCGTTTGGGCGGAGCAACGTCGCCGCTGCGCCCCCAACCCCTGACCCCTCCCTGGGCCCCCGGTGCGCTCTAGGACCCAGCGCCGGTCGGTCCGCCGCCAGGGTGGGCGGGGCTCCTGCATTGTGACGTCACAAGGAGGCGGAGCTACGGCGCTGGGACGGACAGACGGACGAAGGACGCAGGACAGACCGGGCGGGGCCGGCGCGGGCGTGGGCGCGGCGGGTAAGGGTTGGCGCTCGGATCCGCAGGCCGCGTGAGGACGCGGACGGAACGCGGGGCTCGGGGCTCGGGATGCGGCGCGGGCGGCGGGTCCCAGGACCGAGCCCCTCGGAGCCCCCGGCCGTGCGTCCCACCCCCGGAGCAGCCAACCTCCCTTCGTACTGAGCGCGCTCTCCCCAGACTGAGCATGCTCGCCCCGGACTGAGCGTGCTCCGCCCCATCCCGGCCAAGTGCTCCCTCCCGGGCCGAGCCTCCCGCCCCCCCAGAATGAGCGTGCCCCAGGCCCGCCTCCCGCGTCCCCAGCCGTGCGCCGCGCACCTCTGTTCTCCCGCGGGTGCGGCTTCGCGCGCGGAGGGCTCCCTGGGGCGCCCGTGTCTGAGGGGCGGGTCATGCCCTAGCCGTGAACCCCCGCGGTGTCCCGGGAGCGCGACCCTCACTGTGCCGCGAGGCCCCTGCTGCGGAGTTCTTACCTCTTCTCCTCTCCCGCCAGGCTCAGGCTCCGATGGTGGAGGGTCGCACCGGGCGGCAGCGGCAATGTGGGGGTGACCGTCAGCGCGCGTTCCAGGAGCCCGTGAGAGCAGAGGGGACCTGGGCCAGGTGGACGTCTGTCGGCTGGCGGGGCGACACAGGTGTTCGAAATGGAAGCAGAAGGCTTGGATTGGCTTTTGGTCCCCTTGCACCAGCTGGTTTCCTGGGGGGCAGCTGGGGCCATGGTCTTCGGAGGGGTGGTGCCGTATATCCCCCAGTACAGGGACATCCGGAGGGCTCAGAATGCAGAGGGCTTCTCTACCTACGTGTGTCTGGTGCTCCTGGTGGCTAATATTTTACGGATCCTCTTCTGGTAAGTTGGGGGCTTTCTGTGGGGTGCTTCCAGAAAGAGAAAGAGATGGCTTTCTCTTTCTGGGGTTTCGGAGTGGGGTGGTCAGGAGCTGGTGAACGCTTGAGATTATTTCCCAGGGAAAATGGGGTTGGAGTGGAGACTCTTACCTGTGATCTTCATTTCGTGTCACTCATACATCCTCAGATATTTTTCCACAGACGTCTGGGTGCTGGGCAAGGTCCTTGGACTGGGTCCCTGCCCTCAGAATTTGCATGGGAGCAGGAGAGAGAAAACAGGGACTGGAGAAGTAATTAAGAGTAACAGAAAATGATGAGCTGTAGGAAGGGCACTCTGCTGACCACTGAGCCCCTTAGGAGGGGACATCAGAGCCTGGCAGGAAAGAGTGCTCAGGAGCCCTGTGCAGGGAAGGCCTCCCCTCAGCCTTCTCTGGTGTGTGTACGGTTTTTCTTGCCACTCCCAGCCCAGCTTCCTGTTATTATCATTTGCATTCTGGTAAGGAAGTTGAAATTAATTTTAATAGTTGCTAAAGCCAGGCATGTTTGGGAGGGGGCATTTTTAGAGGAAATGAAATGATGTGTTATAACCTCATTCTTTTTTTTTTTTTTTTTAGAGGGAGGGAGAGGAGGGGGGTGGAGGGAGAATCTTAAGCAGTCTCCAGGCCCAGCGCAGAACTTGATGTGGGGCTTGATCTCACAACCCTGAGATCATGACCTGAGCTCAGTCAGATGCTTAACGGACTGAGCCACCCAGGCACCCCATTATAGCCTCATTCTGAGACCAAAGAGGTCTGGAACTTTCCTTTCTTCTTGAAGGGTCCCAGACCCTCTGTCAGTACAGATAGTGAGGAAGGTTGCTCAGGAGGGCAGCTGAGTGCAGAGGTGGGACAAGGGCTCCAGGCAGTTGGTGTCCACAGCTCTGCTTCTGGCTCCTCCTTTTGGCTTTTTAGTCCCTGACTAACCATGTTTTTTGTTAATTCATTTTTAAGTCAACCTTATTAAGGTATGGTTTACATTAAATGAAATTGCCCATCGTAAGTGCACACTTTGATGAGTTTTGGCAACGTCCCCTTGCCATCACCATCACAACCGAGATAGGAATTTTCTGAGCCCAGAAGTTTGCTCTGTTCTTTGTGTTCCATCCAGCGGTGCCAGGCCCCGGGCAACCTTTGATTTATTTTCACTGTGTGGTAGTTTTGCCCTTGTCTGGGGCTTTTAAAAGGTGAGCTGGTAAGTCAGCCCCTCCTAGAGGAATTTGTCACATCACCAGGTTTGTCTCGGGCTAGGCTACTTTGGAAGGAGGGGTCATGGATGCTTATTTGTTTCTTTGGCGCAAGTTGAAAACCCACACTTTGAAGATCCCTCCTTTTCCTTTGACTGGGGGCAGAGATCACTCGCTTCAGGGTGACATGTCGCTTCTTTTTCTAAAATGGCTTTAATCAAATCTAAGATTGAACAGAAGCAGGTCCTGAAATATAATTGTATCTGACACCGTTGTTAATTCTGAGTGCACTGGAGGGGCGTTCAGGGGTCTCCCAGGCTTAGGCTGTGGAATAAGTTTTCTCTCACAGTGGAGGGGAGGTGCCTGACATTGGCTTGCCTTATGGGAAAAAAGATCAGTTGGGAGGTCTCTTCCTTAAGTATGCTTATCCTTCACAATCACAAAAAGAGGCGAGAATAGCTAATCTACATCCAAATATCTGGTTTGGTGAAGTCAGAAATTAAACTAATTTCTTGAATGCCAAGTCTCAGGGCCTCTGGATTTAACTGGCATTTGCACTAGGAGTTCTTTCTTCACTGCAGGGCCTGAGACTTTGAGAAAGAGTCTGGAGCTTTCTCCTAATGCAGCACAGAGTGGCCTTTTGTGGGATTCGAAACTTCATCCATTGGCGAGTCTGTTTCTATACATCCAGTTCATCCTTTCCCAGAGTCAGCACCCTGAGCTGTCCTGGGTCACTTGAGGGGTTCTGTGGCGACTTCAGCCAGTATTCCAGGAGACTGCAACAACGTGTGGGATGAAGGGAGGGCTGGCAGAGGGCACTGGTCCCTCCTCAAGAGTGTCTCTGGCCTAGAGGTGTGCTTTTCCTGCATTTCACACAGGATAGTACTTGGTGTTCACATGTGAAGCCCAGCAGACAGGCTGAGCTCCGTCTAGGACTTAAAAGTAATGTGTGCCTCTCTGCCCACCTAGTCCTAGGTCCCACTCCTCTGAGAGTGATGCAGATCCTCCCTTTTATTTCTTATCTGGAGCCTTTTAAGCCCCTATTCCTGGGTCCTCCTCCAGACTTCATGGGTTAGCAGCCCATATGATTTAATAGGTGTTTGAGTGTTTCCCGTGTTCCAGACACTGGTCTAGATGCTGCGGGGTTTACACTTTAGCAGAAGCATTGTTTGGAATGTGCCGTCTACACATATATGGGTTATGGCAGGCTCCAGGTGAGATGGAAGGTGGGTCTACACAAGAACAGTGGTGGAGTTAGAACTGAAGAGTGTGTTTCCCAAAGCTGGCTGAGACCACAGTTCTCAGAGCTCCAGTCTGGGCAGTCCCCTTTGTGGTGTGAGGCTTGTGAGTGGCTCTGCAGTTCTGTAGGAGGGGCCAACTGAGCTGCGTAAACCCTGGGTTTCTGATAACTTGTGGAACTCTAATGCCTTTATTTCTTTTTAAAAAATTTTTAAAATTTAGGGGCGCCTGGGTGGCTCAGTCAGTTAAGCGTCTGCCTTCAGCTCAGGTCATGATCCTGGGGTCCTGGGGTCGAGCCCCGCGTCCGGCTCCCTGCTCAGTGGAGAGCCTGCTTCTCCCTCTCCCTCTGCCTGCCACTCTGCGTACTTGTGCTCTCTCTCTCTCGCTCTCTCTCTCTCTAATGAATAAATAAAATCTTTAAAAAATAAAAACATAAAAAACAAATAAAAAGATACAAATTTTAAAATTTAAAAAAATTTTAAAACTTTTTAAAAAAGATTTTATTTATTTGTCAGTGAGTGAGCACAAGCAGGGTCAGTGGCAGGCAGAGGGAGAAGCAGGCTCCCCACTGAGCAGGGAGCCTGATGTGGAACTTGATCCTAGGACCCTGGGATCATGACCTGAGCCGAAGGCAGATGCTTAACCAGCTGAGCCACCCAGGTGCCCCTCTAGTGCCTTTATTTCTTACAATTCTTATCATCCTTTTGCAAAACTAGCATTCAGCAGATTCTGTAAAGTGCTGATGGATGGTATTTTGCCTCAGAAGAGTGGCGTCAGGAGAAGCCAGGAGAAGGGCTAAATGAGGCCTCATAACTAATAATTGCAGACTTGTGATTTTTGTAGAGAAGGGGAAGGAGGCCAGGGTGCACAGATGGTATTGCAAGACCTTCCAGCTGAGAGCCCTGTGCATTCATAGAGATGGTTCTCAAGCTCCATTAGTATTGGATGAAAACACTGTATCAGGGAGATGGTAATGTTGTATGAAATATTTAATAGCATTGTATCAGAGATGCAGTGACATTGTATCAGAAATAAGGGAACACTATCAGATATGGCAACACCATGTCAGAGGTGTAGTAACACCATATCAGATATGGTAACATTATATCATAGATATGGTATTATCCTATCAGAGATGTAGTAAGCATTATAACTGAGATGTGCTCACATTGTATCAGAGATGTGGTAACCTTGTGTCAGATGTAGTGATGCTCTATCAGAGATGTAGCAACATTGTATCAGAGATATAGTAACACTATTTAGAAATGTGCTCACATTGTATCAGAGATGTTTTAAAAAATTTTTTTAAAGATTTTATATATTCTTCGAGACACAGAGATAGAGAGAGAGAGAGAGAGAGAGCGCACGAGCAGGGGGAGAGGCAGAGGGAGAAGCAGGCTCCCTGCTCAGTGGGGAGCCTGCTTCTCCCTCTGCTTCTCTCTCTCTCTCTCTCTCTGTCTCTCATGAATAAATAAATAAAATCTTTTTTTTTTTTATTTTAAGATTTTATTTATTTATTTGAGAGAGCGAGAATGAGAGAGAGAGAGCACATGAGAGGGGGGAGGGTCAGAGGGAGAAGCAGACTCCCTGATGAGCAGGGAGCCCGATGCGGGACTCGATCCCGGGACTCCAGGATCATGACCTGAGCCCAAGGCAGTCGCTTAACCAACTGAGCCACCCAGGCGCCCTAAATAAATAAAATCTTTAAAAAAAAAAGTTACTAATGACATTGAACCTTGTTTCATATTTACTTTGTCTCTTGTTTATTGTTTGTGGAAAGTGTTGCTTTTTGAAATTTTGTATGTTGCTTAGCCTGTCTTTCTAAAATCAGTTAAATATTCACCTCTGCTCCCTCTCACTTCAGTTTAAATGGTCTTGTTTTTATTGTAAATATTGAGTTCATTTGGATTCGGTTTTTGGGGTGTGGTTTAAGGGGAAGTGCAAACCTTGATTTCTTCGCCCACAAGTTTTTCTAGTCACTGTTTCTGTTGAGAATTTAAAAAACAAAAGTGGCCTTTCTCACCTAATGGCCGTACTTGCACATCTTCAGCCTAATAACTGGAAATTAGTTGTATGAGGAGCCCCAGAGTACCTTATTTTATTGTGATTCTTCCCGGCCTGCTCAGGAAGGAAGCATTTCCAGTCTCGTTAGGCTGACATTGAACTTTTGCTGTCCCCTTTCTGACCTTCACCTATAGATGAGTTGACCCCCTGGGGTCAGCTAGGTAACCAGTGGGATCCAGTTCTTAGAAATGACTAGCAATGTTCTTAAATAGCCTTCAGGGTTATAGCTGCACTTTACAGAAGAGAGGAGGCCCAGAGGCGGTGGGTCACAGGTGCGAGGGCCCTGGAGCCAGCCTGTGGCAGAGTCCTTAAGCACCCCCAGTCCCCCCAGTCTGTGCCGCTGGCTCAGAAAGCCCCAGGGCACCATCACCTCTTTCTTGCTGCACCTTCTGTTCACTCAGATCTGGCTCATCAGCCCTTTCTTGTTCCAAGCATTTAGCCTTTCAGCTCCTCTCCTGAAGGAGAGGCCCAGATGAAGTAGCAGGATCCCAGGTGAGCCCAGGTGACATTTCCTGGGGAGGCGGGAGGAATCTGGTGGTCATGGAGCTGTCTGCTGTCTGTGTCCCGGTCCTTCTGCCCTTCCTGGGCCCAAGTGGTACGGGCCCGAGCCTCTTTGACCTCAGGCCTGCTCTGTCCTTTGCTCAGAGGACACAGGCCGGGCCTTGACCTCAGAAACCAGTGCAGAACACTGGTCCGGAACTGGTCTTGGTCCCCCACTCCCCAGGGAGTAGCTGGCTTCTCCTGGTTGCTTGACCTTCTGTGGGATCTTCACCTGGATGCGACTCCCCTCCAGGTGGCACATTCTCACCTGCTGGGCCGGCTCACCCTGGCCAGGGCAAACGCTCGTCAGAGGTGCCGTTGCTCCCGCCCAGCGGATGTGCAGAGTTCTCTGGAGAGGCTCAGGTTGGTTAGAACTCTGGCAGGGCAGTGCGTTCACAAACTTGGGCTTGATGGTGCTGGAGCAGTTGTGAGCATCGTTTTTCTCTGTGAAGGAACATCATTTTTTCTTTACCGTGTAGGTAGATTTTCTTACTATGTAGGGACACC